GACAATCAGTCTCTGATGGGACGAATGCGGGCGCAGCCGACGAGCCAGCTGACGAGTGAGGGTTTTTGTGCGGCGTAGCGACGGACGCCCGCCCGTGTGTGTTGATAGTGAGGTCTCCTGCATGCGTGTGTGGCCGTCTGATGTCTCTGCGTGAGCTCGCCCTCTGTCATTGCCTGTCTGTCTGTCTGTCTGGTGTTTGTTCGTTGAACGAGTGGGGGGCTCTGTCTGCCGTGATCTCGAGGGTGTCCGTTGTCAGCAGGGCATCTCAAGTTGGCTGCTGGCTGTCGTCATTCATCTCTGCAGCCGATTCGTTTCTTCCTCACGATTGATACATCGCCGAACCCTCTCTCTCCCTTTGTAAGTTAGATGTCGCGTGGCGCCTGTCGACAGCATATATGTCAGAAAGAGGTGGCTTCCACGTGCAGGCACACACCGATTGTCCACACGTGTGGACAGAGCTGGCATCCGACAGCAATGTTGCCAGGAGGTAAATTTCCGTTTTGGCGAGAATTTGAGACGGAGACGGCTTTCGCGAAAATGGCGTTCTCTCTGTTCTTCGCTTCGGCCGAGTCAGCTTACAGCAGAAAGCTCTCTTTTCTCTCTGCTGGTTGCGTCATTTCTTCGCAAAGTCTCTGTCGCATCGCTTCCGCCTCATCGAGTTGTCCCTCTTGCCTGCGGAGATGGCTCATCCGGCGGCGGCGGCGGCAGCGCCGCAAGTTCCGGCCTTCATCGTCCACAACTTCAATACTATTCGTCATTTGGGAGCGGGCGGGTACGGAGTGACCTGGCAAGCGTGTGCCAATGCAAAGGGGGCGGCACCAGACATCGATGGCGGCGAGGACCTCCAGGGCGTACCCAGAGGACCCGAACTCGTCGTCAAGATGGTAAGCATGCAATCCATGGGCACAGAGAGCGGGGCATTAGTGGGTGCGTTGCGTCACACATACATGGCTCATTTCCTCTCGTACGTGGCCGGTTGTGTTGTGCTTGCGCAGATGCAGAATAGCGGCCAGTTTGCCAACGTGCTCGAGCGTAAGCGACGTCAACATGGAAACAGTACGTATCTGCTGCTGAATGTGATCCTTTTTCAATTCAGTTGAGCATATGATCATAGAGCTCCCCGACATCAAAAACTGTCCCAATGTGATGTCGTCGTTGGGCTTCGTGGACGACCCCTTCGAGGACAGGGCCTACCTGATCATAGAGTACGGCGGCCCCACGCTCGACACGAAGCTGTGGGACCACCGGCAGGACGGACTGCCGCGCAACGAGGTCAGGGACATCAGCAGCCAGCTCGTCAACGCACACAGGGCGCTGCACAGGGCAGGAGGTGAGGAGAGCCGCCACATCAGATAGAGGAGAGAGGAAAAAAGGCAGGATCACTCCTTGACCTTCTCACGTGTGTGTGTGTGTGTGTGATGGATACAGTGATATATCGCGACCACAAGATGGACAACGTGGTGGTGGGTGCCGATGGGATGGTGCGCCTCATCGACCTGGGGTGCTTCAAGGAGATGGGCGAACAGGGGTACCCCGCAGACCTGAACTCAGTAAGCAGACACACACACGCGCAATCGCAAGAAAGCGACGCGCACGCATGGCCGTTGTCTCTCATTGGCTTGGTTCCGTCGGCTTGTGCAGTGGGTCCGAGAATTCCGGCCGACGGAGGTGCTGCTGAAGCAACAGTACGGCCTCAAGGCCGACATCAGCGCCCTGGGCCAGCTGTTGTTCTGGACCGCATACGACCGCTCGCCCTTTGGCCAGAGGGTGGTCAACGGGTAGGCGGTGGACGTGGCCAACAATGCTGAGGCCTTGCGGGAGATGATAGATGTGTACGGCCCGCCCACACCGCACGGAGGGATGTGGCGCGCCGACGCACACCATCAGGCGCAGCACATCCTCGTAAGCCAGGCAGAGAGGCAGAGGGAAGCCAAGGACAGATATGTGTGGAGACACACGTCCCAAGTGCCTGTCTCTGTCTCTCCATTTCGTGCAGGGGCAGGTCGGTGGCCAGGTCAAGACGGAGCAGGAGGTCAAGGCCGAGCTGGAGGCGCGTATGACGGCGCTGCGACCGCAGCTCAACATCACGCCGGAGGAGCTTGACTTCTTCTACCGGTACGCACACACCACACACACACGCCAATGGCTTGCAGACATCATGAACTCACTCCCCTTCTTTCTTTTCGCTGGTGTTTGTCCATTTCAGTGCATTGCACCACAACCCCGACACCCGCTACAGCGCCGACCAGCTCTCCGCAC